ACTCATGCCCCCAAAGCTCTCAGCTGCTAACTCCAGACCTGCCCCAGCCACGGGAGCACCATTAATCTTCTTCTATGTCCCACAGTCACTGAGCTTACAAAGGCACCAATGGCATAAATCCACCAAAGTCACAAAGCTGCCAGACAGTGCTCAGATTTTAGGCCTGCATCTGCATGTGGGCAACTGCTTGTGTGCTCCCAGAGCTTGCAGAGGTGGAGCCCTGGCCACTGTGAGCTTGCTGAGAATGAGGCTGCTATGGTGGGGCCCTGTCCTTCCCTTCACGTGTGTGTGTGTTAATGATGGGGCTTCTATGGTGGACTGGGTTCCATCTTGCACACACCCCCAGTTGTGGCCAGGGCCACACTCTAGCCTCTTTGGTCTTCTCTGTGCAGCCAACCCCAGTCGTCTCCCCACATTGTCTTCCGAAGCCCGAGTTTCAGCACCAAGCCCCCACACATACCAACAGATGGACCTCTCAGGCTGGGGAGGGCAGCAAGGTGGCCAGGACTATCTGTGCTCGTCTCTCTCCATTCTGCCTCCTGCAAGCTAGTTGTTGCACTCTCCTCTGAACCTCTGAAGCTCCCTTTCTGTCCCAGCTTATCTCTCCACTGGTGAAGGGGGCTCCCAGGGTGAGGGAACCTTTCCTCTTTCACAGCTCCTTCCCAGGATTCCTTTTTTTTTTTTTTTTTCCTTTTATCCTACCCAGTTATGTGGTGATCTTTCTTGCAGCTTTGGTTGTATGAAATCTTCTGCCAGAGTTCAGTGGGTATTCTGTGAGAATTTTTCCCCATGTAGATGTATTTTTGATGTATCTGTGGGAAGAGGTGAGCTCCGTGTCCTTCTATTCTGCCATCTTGATCTCTCCTCACCAATTTGAATATTAATAGGTTTCTCATCTGAAGCCATGTGAAATGCGCTCATGAAGGACACCAGTGGCCTCCTAATGAACAGTCACATGATTTGGGACTCTGCAGCATTTTCTCTGTGTTGACCTCTCCTCCCTTTTTGGAATACTCTCTTCCCTTGAAGCCCATGATATCACAGCATCCTGGTTTCCCATTTCTTGGCCCCTTTCTGTGCTCATTCACAGGCCCCTCTTTTTCTACTCAACCGTGTGTAGCTATTTCCCAGGGTTCTGATTTCTTCTCACTTCTTGTCCTCCTCTTACACAACATATTCTCTCCCTGAGTTACCTGACCATCATTCCACTGGATTTTATTTATTTATTTATTTATTTATTTAAGGCAGGTTTATTGAGATGATACTTACACATAGTAAAATCCACCTGTTTTGTGTTCAGTTCTATGAATTTTGATATAGAGTCCAGTTAGCACCACCACAGTCAAGATAAAGAATATTTCCATCACCCCAAAAAAGTTCCTTCATGCTGACCCTCTGTTGTCAATTTCCTCCTTCACCTCCAGTCCTTGGCAACCACTGATCTCTTTTCTGTCCCTATAGTTTTGCCTTTGCCAAAAGGTGAATTTCATGTATTTTTAAACGAAATAAAGATGATACTTTCCATATTTATACCTCTAACCTGTGCTGACCTGACAGTACTAACTTGTCTTTTGAGCTTCAGAGTCATCTACCCAGTGTCTTTTGATTGGGTCTTTTGATTCTAAAAAGTTTAGAATCCTCACTTTTCGTCATGCATCGAGAAGGTTGAGTGATTCAAAAGTTACTTAACCTCTCTGAACCTTTGTTACCCTCCATGAAAGAGGAGAATATTTCCTTTGCTGATTTCTTGGGGGAGATTAAATAATACAAATGCCACTAAGGAGTCTGCCAGGCTCTGTGTACACAATAGATTCTCAGTACATCATTAATATCATTGATGAAGTTCCATTTCTTCAAGGGGACTTGCACCTTCTAAGGACGGAGCATGGGGTTTCTGAGTCTCTAGCACACTTGCTGGAGAGGATAGGCTCCTCAGAGAGGCCCGTCAGTGTTCTGTGTCTCAACAACATGTTGTGCGAGAGTTCCAATGACTGCACATCTGAATTCTCAGAAGCAGTTTGTGGTACAGTCAAGTATTGCAACCAACCAGTTACTGCATGTAATGAGAATGTCTCATGATTTCTAGTTAGCTTCAAGTTTATGGGGCTGATTAATATCTAAAATGAGGATTGTTTCATTTCAGATCCTTTTTATTTAAAGGCAAAAATAAAAATACAGTGTTATCTTGCAGCATATACTCCTCTAATATGATTACTTGTAAGACCTCCAGGTCATTTACAGTAACAATCACGTTTCAGCCTTGCTTCACATTGGATGGGTACAGGGAGAAGTGGCAGACCCATTCACTCCTACTTGTTTTTGTATTCTGAGTCTTCACGTTTTCATATACCGTTACCCAGTAGCAATTTATAATATATTCTGTGAAGCCATGTGATATTTTAGTGGATGTTTTTCTCAATTTCTCTTTAGATGAACTAAACAAAAGTACCTTAATAAAAGTAAAGTGACAAGAATCACATTGTTCTCATTTCAAACACATATAAAGGAACTAAAATGTTGTGAAATATGCCAGGCAGTTTCACTAATCCTCTAACCTCCAGAAAAAGGGCTTGTAATTAGAATTACATAATAATTGTCCAGCCAGAAATTCTTTTTTTAATACTAGAAGGACTTCACCTGATTTCACGCTACACACACACACTAAAAATGTAGTTAGTTTAATGCAAAGAAATTAAAATTACAATTGAGGTGTCACATGGTAAAGTGAAACAGCTTTACTGGTCTGTCGGGTCATAGAGCTAATAATGACTTTATGCAGAATGCAGTGAAGCAGAGGTATCTTTCTCAAGAGCCAGAGTGCACTTGTGGCCAGCACTATTTTGCTTAGGCCGTATACAGCTGTACTTGATTATAGGAACATTAGTTAAGTGAGACCATAAAAAACAGCTGTATTTGAAATCACATAGGACTCTGCACATTTTCTCCCTGTGGCAGCCAATGAGAAATCTTGCTGACAGGCAAACTTGTACAAAACAAATGATCCTATTTAGATTAATTCTTCTTAATGCCTTACACAGGCCTACTTTCCTGGCATATTCTGGAGACAGCAGGTCAGTTCCATTCAAAATGTGGAAATAGAAAAGGCAAGCTTGATTACTTGATAAAATATATGACTATACTGGCAGAAAATATGGAGTGCTTAGTCCTTGTAAAAATGTGACTGATGGGCTCTTCCCCAGCTCAGAGTTCAGCCATGAGGCACTCTGGAAAATGAGCACTCAGCCAGCTAGCAGTCTGCAAAACCAAGTTTTAACTGTGGCTCTGTCACTACTGTTTCATCTTCACTCTCTACCCAGTAACATGATACATCCACATGTTTTACCATAAAACTCTGAAATGCCCTCTAATGCCTAGCTCTGGGCTTTGGTCCACAGGATGTTAACCAACATCACAAACAGATCTAAAATTTGCTTACTTGGCTGGCCTCTCTGCCTCTGCCAGTGACCTGAGAACATACCTGGGCTAGCCCACTGAGTCCAGTGGGCTGATGGGGACACATGGAGCAGACGTGTGAGCTGGCTCAGGCTGAGGTCAGCACAGCTGCCTAGCCAAGCCCAGTCTAGATCACCCAACCTGCAGACTCATGAGCAAAAGAAGTGCTTCTCATCACAGGACACAGATTTTGCAGTTGTTATGCAGCATAACTGTGGCCATAGTTAACTGAAGCATTACTGTGTGACCCTGGGCAAGCCCTCTTCCTTCCTCTCCTCCATTGCTCATCTATAAAGTGATGGGAGGGATTGGAGGATCTGTACAGCCCCTTCTAATGAAGCTGAGGACCAAGAAACCTGGGATGAAAAGAGCTCCAGACTCCAGAGGCTCAGATTTCTTCCAGGCCTAAAGATGGAGTTGAGGAAAACACTTCATCAGGCACTGTGGGCAGGTAGAGGAGCCTTGTCCCCAGTGGTATAGCCATAAATGTCTCACAGTGTGTCCACAGTTACGTAAACAGTGAGAGAAGAAGTTCTGACAAACCTGGGCCCCAGAATGTCCACAGAGCCAGCTCCCCCAAAAAACTTGTTTTCTATAGGTTTAAACCTAGACAAATAAGCAAGTTAGAAGACAGGACTGGAGAAAATGGAAATCTTTATTTTTAAACACTAGTACATTTCCAAGCTGTTTCAAAAAGGAAAAATCATATTACTTCAAAACTATGCATCAAAGCATATTTATTTTAAACTCTAATCTTACAAACACATAATGAAAGAAACATATATTTTATAAATATCTACTCAGAATATGTATTATGGAAAAAAAGTATTTAAAAATAACAGCCCCAGGGCTTCCCTGGTGGCGCAGTGGTTGAGAGTCCGCCTGCCGATGCAGGGGACATGGCAATTCATAAGAATTCTTTCTCAAGAGCCAAAAACTTCACAAAGGCCAACAACTCAGTTCTCATCAGACACAATCAAAAGTAAAACGGATATAAAAAAATGTAAAATTTCTGTACAAGGGAAATGCAGATAGCATATGGGTAAATCTCATTACCATCCATGCCATTTGTGTTTTAAAAATGTTTTACAAAAACTGCCATTTAAAACAAATAAGTGAGAGTCCTTCCCTGACTGTGGAAAATATATAAATTATCACCCTCCCACCTGGGAATCGAGGCTCCCACCTGCTAGGGTTGAGGAGAGAAGTCTCCATGTGGTTCCTGAATAGGGACTAAGTAAGCCACACATGGGGATCCACCTCCTCTGGCAGTGGCTTTTTTCCATGGGTGATTCACTATTATTCCCTTCTACTTAGAAAAATTCTTTGGGATCATAGGAGACAACTGCTCAGAAGTAAATGCAAGACTAGGAGACAACTTCAGATTGTGGTATCCAATTAATAATGTGTATTTTGTGGTTTTGGTGACCAAACTCTGGGAAGCCTAATTTTCCACTGTCAGAGACACAGCCCGTCACCTACCCCAGCAAAACACATGGCACAGCCCCAGGCTGTCCCTTCATCGTTCCTCTTCTGGCGCAAGTCATTCTGTTGCCTGCAGCAGTGTAGGTAGACTATTGCCTCTTCTGACACTTCTTCTGGAAAGAGCTCTTCAAAAACGTGCGGTAGACGGGGTCATCCACATATTCGTTCTTAAACCTGGAGCTCAGCACTCTCTGTCTCTTTTTCTCCCCTTGGATTATGTCCGTTCCATAAAATGTGTCTTCAAATCGCATATCAGAGGCTGTGGACTAAGAACAGCCAGTGTTAACACTGCAGAAGGGCAGGCACTTGACAGCAAAAGAACGGACAAAGATCTGACTCAGTCAGCAGTGGGGAGGGTGCTGAGGCCCAGGGAGAAGGCCCCACGCAGGGGCCTTGGAGCCTCCCCACCTGCTTCCATTTAGCTCAGTTTTCTTCAGGATCTCCAACCCCCAGGGACCTTCCCCAACACGAGCAGGACTAAAGTCTTCTCATTTAAATCTCCCTCACTCTTCATGCCCCCTCTGGCTCCCGCCCAACCAGGTATATGACAAAATTGTCCACAGTCATCTCTAATTCATCCCTATTCCTATTTACCTCTGGGCCTCTGTCCCCACCACTTCCCTGAAACTGTCCTTGCTCGAGTCCTAGTTCCTAGGACACTTCTCTCCCCTAAATTTATGTGACTACCCTGTCACCTAACTCTTGCATGAAGCTCTCTGTCATTCTGTAAGCCCTCCTCCTCCTCTGGCTGCTCACCGTGGGATGTCTCAGCGGCTCCCCTTTCTTAACTATTTGTTCAACTCTGATGCCCCTGAGGCTCTGCGTGTGGCCTTTTCCTTGCCACATATGCTCCCTGGGCCTGCCTGCCCACACTCAAAACTTCAATTTCAACATCAGCCGCAAAGATGCTCACATCTCTTGCCCCAGTTCAGACCTCCACCTGTGCTCAGACCTGCAAACATGTCCAACAACCCAGCAGGCATCTCAAAGTGTTTATACTGGAGGCACTTTGAACCAACCCAACCTAAAGTGAACTCAAAGTCTTCCTTCTCCATCTCTGTCCTTTCTGTATTCAATGAACGGCAGCACCATCCCCATCAATTCTGGCTACACTGATCAGAAACCTGAAAGTTATAAACTTCCCCTTGTCCCTCCCCTGTCCAGGACCCCTCCTACATGTCCCTTGAAGCCCTCCATCCTTTCTTCTTTAACCCTACTGACCCCATGGCCCTCACACTTCCTGTCCTAAACCACTGTAACAAATGCTGCACCCCAGTCTATTTTTCACAGAACCACTAGAAGAAAGCTCTCTGAAATCTCTGATTATATGACACCCTTGCTGATAGTCTTTCAATAGCTCTGCTGCCTTCAAGATGACATCTATGTTTCCTAGGCTGGACATACATAATAATCGGGCATAATCCTACCCCTTGCTTGGATTAGACTGAATTGTTTGCAATTCCCGGCCACACCTTACTGGTTCATGCCCCTCCATCATTAGATGTATTGTTTCCTTTGCATAGAAAATATTCTATCCTCTCTGCCACTGACAAACGTGAGGTTCCTTCTTTTGGGTTCCTGTAACACTCTACATGTCAGTGCAGTAGAATGAGGGCAGTGGCAGAGATAAAGGGTAGGTAAGTGTCTCCCCATAGGGGGTGCCCTGAACCCCTTCACAGTGAGGATATTAGGGACTATGAACTGAATTTTATACATGTTCCCAACAGCAAGGAATGTGCCCTGACACAGTCACTGCTCAGTAAGTGATAGTTAGGCAAAGGAATGTGGGCTTTTTCTGTTATGCTCACGTAAAGCTCACTTTTTTTAAAATTTAACTTTTATTTTATATTGGAGTGTAGCTGATTTACAATGCTGTGTTAGTTTCATGCGTACAGCTGATTCAGTTATACGTATATTCATTGTTTTTCAGATACTTTTCCTATATAGGTTATTACAGAATATTGAGTAGAGTTTCCTGTGCTATACACAGTAGGTTCTCGTTATCTATTTTATATATAGTAATGTGTATATGTTAATCCCAAACTCCTAATTTATCCTTCCCCTCCCATTTCCCCTTCGGTAACCACACTTTTGTTTTCAAAGTCTGTGAGTCTGTTTGTTTTTTAAGTAAGTTCATTTGCACAATTTTTTTTTAGATTCCACATATAAGTGATATCATATGATATTTGTCTTCTCTGACTTAGTTCACTTAGTACGATAATCTCTAGGTCCATCCATGTTGCTGCAAATGGCATTATTTCATTCTTCTTATGGCTGAGTAACATTCCATTGTGTGTGTGTGTGTGTGTGTGTGTGTGTGTGTGTGTGTATACACCACATCTTCCTTATCCATTCCTCTGTCGAAGGACATTTAGGTTGCTTCCATGTCTTGGCTATTGTAAATAGTGCTGCAGTGAACATTTGGGTGCATGTATCTTTTTGAATTATGGTTTTCTCCAGATATGTGCCCAGGAGTGGGATTGCTGGATCATATGGTAGTTCTATTTTTAGTTTTTTAAAGATCCTACATACTGTATTCCATAGTGGCTGTATCAATTTACATTCCCACTAACAGTGCAAGAGGGTTCCCTTTCCTCCACACCCTCTCCAGCATTTGTTGTTTGGAGACTTTTTTTTTTTTTTTTTTTGCTGTACGTGGGCCTCTCACTGTTGTGGCCTCTCCCGTTGTGGAGCACAGGCTCCGGACGCACAGGATCAGCAGCCATGGCTCATGGGCCCAGCCACTCCACGGCATGTGGGATCTCCTCAGACCGGGGCATGAACCCGTGAGTCAGCAGGCGGACTCTCAACCACTGCGCCACCAGGGAAGCCCTGGAGACTTTTTAATGATGGCCATTCTAACTGGTGTGAGGTGATACCTCCTGGTATTTTGATTTGCATTTCTCTAATAATTAGTGATGTTCAGCAGCTTTTCATATGCCTCTTGGCCATCTATATGTCTTCTTTGGAGAAACGTCTATTTAGGTCTTCTGCCCATTTTTTGATTGGGTTGTATTTTTTAATATTGAGCTGCATGAGCTGTTTATATATTTTGGAGATTAATCCTTTGTTGATTCATTTGCAAATATTTTCTCCCATTCTGTGGGCTGTCTTTTCTTTTTTTTTTTTTTTATTTCATTTGCTGTGCAAAGCTTCTAAGTTTAATTAGGTCCCATTTGTTTACTTTGTTTTTATTGTCATTACTCTAGGAGGTGGATTAAAAAAGATCTTGGTGCAATTTGTGTCAAAGAGTGTTCTCTTGATGTTTTCCTCTAAGAGTTTTATAGTATCTGGCCTTACATTTAGATCTTTAATCCATTTTGAGTTTATTTTTGTGTACGGTGTTAGAGAATATTCTAATTTCATTCTTTTACACGTAGCTGTCCAGCTTTCCAGCACCTCTTACTGAAGAGACTGTCTTTCCTCCGTTGTATATTCTTGCCACCTTTGTCACAGACTAGGTGACCATAGGTGTGTGGGTTTATCTGTGGACTTTCTATCCTGTTCCATTGATCTATGTTTGTTTTTGTGCCAGTACCATAATGTTTTGATGATTGTAGCTTTGTAGTATAGTCTGAAGTCAGGGAGCCTGATTACTCCAGCTCTTTTTCTTCCTCAGGATTGCTTTGGCTATTTGGGGTCTTTTGTGTTTCCATACAAATTGTAAAATTTTTTATTCTAATTTTGTGAAATATCCCCTTGGTAATTTCATAGGGATTGCGTTGAATCTGTAGATTGCTGTGGGTAGTATAGTCATTTTGACAATATTGATTCTTCCAATCCAAGAACATGGTATCAATATATCTTTCCGTTTCTGTCATCTTCAGTTTGTTTCATCAACATCCTAATAGTTTTCAGAGTACAGGTCTTTTGCCTCCTTAGGTAGGTTTATTCCTAGGTATTTTATTCTTTTTTGATGTGATGGTAAATGGGATTGTTTCCTTAATTTCTCTTTCAGATATTTTGTTGTTACTGTATAGGAATGAAAGAGATTTCTGTGTGTTAATTTTGGATTCTGCCACTTTACCAAATTCATTGATGAGCTCTAATAGTTTTTTGGCAGCGTCTTTAGGATTCTCTACGTATAGTATCATGTCATCTGCAAACTGTGACAGTTTTACTTCTTTTCCAATTTGGATTCCTTTTATTTCTTCTTCTTCTCTGATGGCCCTGCTAGGACTTTCAAAACTATGCTGAATAAAAGTGGTGAGAGTGTATATCCTTGCCTTGTTCCTGATCTTAGAGGACATGCTTTCAGCTTTTCACTGTTGAGAATGATGCTAGCTGTGGGTTTGTCATATATGGCCTTTATGTTGAGGTAGGTTTCCTCTATGCCCACTTTATGGAGATTTTTTATTATAAATGGATGTTGAATTTTGCTGAAAGCTTTTTCTGTATCTATTGAGATGATCATATGGTTTTTATTCTTCAGTTTGTTGATGTGCTATATCACACTGATTGATTTGCGAATATTGAAGAATCCTTGCATCACTGGAATAAATCCCACTTGATCTTGATTTTGGTTGGCTAGTATTTTGTTCAGGATTTTTGCATCTGTGTTCATCAGTGATATTGGCCTGTAATTTTCTTTTTTTGCGGTATCTTTGGTTTTGGTATCAGGGTGATGGCAACCTCACAGAATGAGATTGGGAGTTTTCCTTCCTCTGCAAGTTTTTTGGAGTAGTTTCGGAGGATAGGTGTTAACTCTTCTCTAAATGTTTGATAGAGTTCGTCTGTGAAACCATCTGGTCCTGGACTTTTGTTTGTTAAAAGTCTTAAAATCACAGTTTCAATTTCAGTGATTGGTCTGTTCATATTTTCTAATTTTTCCTGGCTCAGTCTTGGAAGGTTGTACCTTTCTAAAAATTTGTCCATTTCTTCTAGGTTGTCCATTTTATTGGCATATAGTTGTTTGTAGTAGTCTCTTATGATCCTTTGTATTTCTGTGGTGTCAGTTGTAACTTCTCCTTTTTCATTTCTGATTTTATTGATTTGAGCCCTCTCCCTTTTTTTCTTGATGAGTCTGGCTAAAGGTTTATCAATTTTGTTTATCATCTCAAAGAACCAGCTTTTAGTTTCATAGATTTTTCTTGTTGTTTTCTTCATCTCTATCTCATGTATTTCTGCTCTGCTCTTTATGATTTCTTTCCTTCTACTAACTTTGGGTTTTGTTTGTCCTCCTTTCTCTAGGTGCTTTAGCTGTAAGGTTAGGTGGTTGTTAGGTTTGAGATTTTTCTTGTTTCCTGAGGTAAGACTGTATTGCTAT